GACTCCATTAGATATCTTACATTTGGTAATTGTTCTGCTTGGGCATTAACAATTAGGGGCCAGGATGTTGGAGCCATATTCAGAATGTTGTGCACTGCCAGAATGATAATCTGAGTAATGATTAAATTTGATTTATTTATTATGAATTACAAAATATTATGCTTTAAAAGTACAAGGGAATTCTGTTTTATGTTTATGTACAAGTACGTACAAGTACGTTTATTGACTCCACCCCTTTTTGACGCGTCACTACGATGCGTGAGTGCAGGTGTTGATAATGAGATAGGATTGTTTGGCACAGACAGGTTAAGAGTTTGGAGAGCAACAGTTTCTTCAATCGCATGAAATTGCATGAAATCATGTTACTGATAGTGTTTAAAAGTATTTACAGTATAAAAACCATTACGCCTATGGAGAGTCCCCACAAAAATGTGTGCGCCTGTGTGTGTGTGTGTGTGTGTGTGTGTGTGTGTGTGTGCTCTCCTCTGTGTGTGCTCTCCACTATGTGTGTGTGTGTTGAACTAAGTTGAACTGACAAAACTTTTTTTTTTTTTTTTTTTTTCTAGTGTACATTACCTGCAGTCGTCACCGGTGTTACAGTTGAAGAGGCCAAGTACAGACTTAAGACATCTAAAAAATAATTATGAATACAAATGAGTCAACATGTTACATAGAACACAATGAAATATCAATCAAATAAACACATGCTATAAGCTTTTAGTTAAAGTAACAATTTTGCCTAAAAATTAGAGTTACGTCTTCATGACTTTCACAGAATAAAGTATTGTCCATCCTAGAAATTATTATTATTCTCATCCATCGTTTTAAAATAATGAAACTCTTAAGCCTTTTCTGTTCAAACTAAAAAAAAAAAAAAACACATTGCAGCACTACAGTATCTACATGAAGTATAATTTGTGGATCATATTCCAAATCTTCTGAAGTCAAACATCATCTTAATGTGGAGAGCAGAATGAAATGAAAGAAGTGGTTGATGTTTTGAGTGGTTTCTCTACATAAATAAATCAGTCACGTTGTACACAGAAAGCAACATTTTGATGTCCCAGATCCGGCCCACATCTGGCACATGTGGAAAGATGATCTGGGCCACAAGCGGACCATAGCAATGCCACATGTCAGCCAAGAGCAATGAAATAAACCAGAACTGGACTTTATCTGAGCCACAACATCTGCGTATATTAAATCATCTCCACTTTAATAAGCCTGTTAACAAACAGAATCACTGAAGGAAAGAAGAGAACAGAAAAAGAGACGAGCAGAAACACAAGAATAAAAACTGACTTCACTCAAACATTTTTAACTTAACTTTATGTCAACAGGTTCCACATGACTGGGTTATGTTAACTAAAGCAAATGCTGACCGTCATAATGGTGACTTGAAACAAAAAATTCCATAAAACACTGTCTATAAGTGCAATAGACCCCTTTTCAGTTGGTAAACATGGTGACGTTTTTATGTGGGCGGAGCTTAGGTGGAGGCAGAACGATCCCTCTGGCCGCTTCACTAACGCTAGTTAGCAAGTTTTTTTAGCTTGTTTTTTTAACAATGACTGGAGAAAATCCGATATTATCTTAATGTGTAAGGTCACTCAGTGTCCAGGACCGCGATTTCCAAAAGTTATTTTTAACGGACAGAACCAGATTAGCCGACCTGTAGCCTTCACACGCTCACTCGATGCATGGACGATCTGACAGGATTAACGTTACGTTACCTCGGGTGAGTGGCCTGACTTCTACACCTACCTTATAGAGAAACACATCGTAAAGAGAAACTGATGGCATATAAATCTTTAGATGCCTATAACTATGTGCTGAATGGTCCTGTACAAGACTTGTGTGTACGATCCGCAGTTCTGCCGAGTCAGCGCCGAGACGACGACAATGTAAAGAGTGTCATTACGGTGCGATTTTAATCATGTGAATATTTTCTAAAAATAAAAGTTCCAGATACAGCATATTCATTTTTCATTGATTCTTGCACCAAACAACACAATAAGATGACATTTAAAAATAATAAAAGTAATTTAAGCTCCTTATTATGTAGCCGAATCTGTGCTGGTTTGTATTGGCCGCCTCCAGTTTTCACTTTGTTTTGCCTCCAGCTAGCGCCATGACGTAACTGTGACGTCGGCGCAAAAGGGGTCTATAATGTGTAAAGACTTGAAGTCAGTAGTTCTTGTGTTTCTCTTTTTTCTGTTCTTGTTGTTTCTCTGTCCTTCAGTGATTCTTCTTATTAACATCAGGTGTCAACACTAATGTTCAATCATCACTTAATTAATCACTTAATTATCTCATTAACTTCAACACTGCTTCAGTGTTCATTTTGAACACCCTGCAGTTGGACCTATATGTACACCGGGGGCCCTGTCTTGCACCCGTCCAAATTGACTTTGTACACTAACGAGAGGTATTATTCGTATTTTGCACCCGTGCAAAGCAGACTTTTCCCTCCACAGACGCACACCGGCAAACTAGGGACTGAAAAAGGAGGCATGTTTCAGCGCAAACAATCCCTGGTGCTATTTTGCAGTTCCAGAAAACAATTGCGCTACGGACCAGTCTAAAAAACTAGACTAAAGTCAGTGGGCGTTGCGCGTACATTCAGATGCTATTTTAAGCGCGCATGCTTGGCCATAATACAGAGCGTGAACAACGCACATACACAGATGATTCTCTCATCTACACAGACGCATTTTACTTTTTGCAAATGATTATTATAAGGAAAAATATTCAAACACGAGGGAAATCATTGTTGTGTCCATGACGCTGCGGGGGAAAAATAGGCATAAAGCTTACACATTAACCCAAATTATTATTTGCATGTTTAACCGAAGCTAATTTGGGCTGGTTTGTCTCATCTCCAATGTCACTTCTCTTTCTTTTACGGCCTGACGAGAACATCGATCTCCTCGGCTGTGAACCGATGCTGAAGCGCGTCTAGTAAATGCGCCGTTATAATAGTATTGCGCCGTGGTACAAGCGCACCTCGTTCATCATGCTCTTAAAGGGAATGTGATATGACGCTCTTATTGGTTTGTTTCCCGTTACGCCCAAACCACACCTATGAATAATGACGCTACTTCAGACCAAACCTTTTTAGATTTGCATAGAGCGAAAGAGTCATTTATCCCGCTGGTTAAATAGCAACAGCGCCGAGGTCCGCCCAAAGTTACTTGCGCTTTGTGCTTGACACTTGCGTGATCGTTAAAATAGGGCCCCAGGAGTGTTAAAGGACAACTCCGGCGCAAAATGAACCTTTAGTCTAATTACACATTGTTACCTAGTCAACCGTTATCTGAGATTTGTTTTCATGATTGCCAAATGTAAATAGTTTTATTTCTAAAAACAGTTTAGCCTATAACGCTAGTATAATGCTAGTATATAGGGCATAGAGTAATGACAAATAAAAATCGCTTGTTATTACCACTAACAAGGCTCAAAATAGCCCCACACTAACACGACAGCATAATAAGGGTCCCTACATTCAAACCGAAGCATTGAGAACTTTGTCAGTGTCCATACAGTTTAATAAGCAGATGCTTTATACACACAGTAAATTTCGCGAATTCAGGAAGAAGCCATCTTGGAAAAATAGTCTCTACCAGTCGATCTACGAACGCCGATCCAAGTGCGCTGGTGAGATGTGAATAAGGTGATAAGGTGAGCACGAACAGTAGGCTACGTGTACATATTGAAGACAAGTAAACGGTTTGTGTTTGTGTTTCTTCTGGAAACAACGGATCATATGAGATTCTGCACAGTTCAGCGCACTTGGATCGGCGCTCGTAGATCGACTGTTAGAGACTATTTTTCCAAGATGGCTTCTTCCTGTATTCGCGAAGTTTACTGTATGTATAAAATATCTTCTTATTAAACTGTTTGGACACTGACAAAGTTCTCAATGCTTCGGTTTGAATGTAGGGACCCTTGTTATGCTGTCGTGTTAGTGTGGGGCTATTTTGAGCCTTGTTAGTGGTAATAACAAGCGATTTTTATTTGTCATTACTCTATGCCCTATATACTAGCATTATACTAGCGTTATAGGCTAAACTGTTTTTAGAGATAAAACTATTTACATTCGGCAATCATGAAAACAAATCTCAGATAACGGTTGACTAGGTAGCAATGTGTAATTAGACCAAAGGTTCATTTTGCGCCGGAGTTCTCCTTTAATTCAACACTGGGGATTTTGCTGTGTTGGACATTGGAGAAAAGAGAGTAGGAAAAACAAACATAATTTTAGAGAAGTTTACAATGTTCCTCAGCTTCTACACAGTCTGCTTGCTACTCAAACCGTCCCCTCCACTCGTCATAATTCAAGACAATAAACTTCTGATTGCATGATCACTGATTGCTTCACCGGGTTAATGGATCTAACAGACAACTTGAAAAAATATAACAAGACATTTTTGATCTTTCAACTAAATTACACCAGATTACTGAAGATTATTCTTCATGGTTCGGAAACTTGTTAGGTAAACCCAGGTCGTGGATCAAGGAAATAGCAATTCAGCTGTTGTTACTCCTACTGGCATTCAATCTATGCGTTCACAGTATCAAGTTTTTCATTCAAGAAATGACTCACGCCTCTCATGAGAAAATGACAGTTCCAACCATAAAATAATATTACCCATAAGAACTTCATAAACCCTAATTGCACGTTTGTTTCTGTGTCAGCATGCAATTATAGAAAATCAACAGAGCATGTGCTATAGGCCTGGAACCACCACAGGATACAATACAATAATTACTTAAGTCTCTAAATTTGTATTTTGTGAGAGTCATTAGAACTCTCAAAGGGAGAAATGTAGTGTTAGAAATTTATTAAATGTTTAATTAGGTTCCAGTAAAATAGTATATAAAATGAGAAAGTTTAGTAGACTGAATTCTCGGCCTATAGGACAGGTTTCCTGAACTGGTATATTCATTTACATGTGAGGCCACAGAAACAAAAACAACACAGTCCATACTTACACAGAATTACAAAGATGATAGTTAGTCCTCTTTTGAAACCTGAAAATAAAAAAACAAATAAATAAGAAAAAAATAACATTTGAAAATGTGTTGGACTGTAGCCTACTGAAACTACATTCATCATCTGACTGCAGTTCATAAAGGATTTTTGGGCAGAATGAAATCTTTGCTAATTATGACAAGATAAAAAATCACCTTTATGAAGAGAGGAATCCATTGATAGTTTTGGAAGTCCGATATTTCCCTTTATTCAAAAGCCAGGAAGACGAGTTTTCTTTTTGGTTCAGAGGAAAAAACAAATGAGATTTGGCATTGATGCATGACTTCTGTCTGTGTCCCCTCTGTTTTCAAAACACTTCCAAAGAATTTATCAATTTACATATTGAAAGAGATGACAATTTTAAACATTATAGTGTGAAATGAATAAAAAAAATTCTATTAAGGTAAGCAATTAAATTAAGAAATTAAGTTGAGCATCTGAATACTGAATGAACATTTCCAGAGGAGTAAACCAAAACTGATCGCAGAAATTATATCATATAATCATGTAATCATATCACATACTGTGAGTCAAAAACTATATATATATATATATATATATATATATATGAAGAGTTCAGATGCAAAAGCCTCTAAGTGCCATTTGAAATTTTCTTCTAGAATGATCATTTTTATCAAGCTTGTATATTTAAGTTGAGTAATTTCACTTAAATTATTGTAATTTAAGTGAAATTACTGAACATAAATATACAAGCTTGATAAAAATGATCATTCTAGAAGAAAATTTCAAATGGCATTTAGAGGCTTTTGCATCTGAACTCTTCATATATATAGTTTTTGATATAATATATATATTTATATATTGAAGATCTACATGTGCACTGGAAAAAAAACTGTAGAAACAGTTTTACTCATTAATTGCTAGTAAAGTTCACAAGTAATTACAAAGAATCTGCAAGTAACACATTTAATAACACAATGACATTTTGAAGCACAAATAATGAAATTTTTAAACATACCTAATGATATTTGTGCTATTTATTGTTTTCAGTGTTTAAGAGTAATCAGAGTGTATTTAATACAAGTATATCAATATTAAAATCACACACTATAAATTGAGTATTAGTATACATATGCAGTTTCAACCATTTTTTCCAGTTCAACCACATTTCTAAAAATCAGAACATGTATAGAATTACTCCAAATCACCCCTCAGTCCATGATCACACATCATGTTTAAAGTACAAAGACTGATGAGGATCATTATGAGCAGAAAGAAGATCTTACCGTATATATAATCTGACAAACAGTGAATCTCACCCGACGCGACTGACTGAACAAGATAGTGTGTGTTGAGATGTTTATAGAGAAGTTATCTGTCCATCATTCCCATAAGTCCACTGTTATCTCATCATAATCAAATTTGAATAAAATATTTACATAACATGTCTAGCGACCTTCTAGCATCTTATGTGAAATTCAATATCAGGTTTTTATCAGTTTTAGCCGAATGACTCCAAATGGACTGTGATGTTGCTGTAACGATGGCAGCTGCTGGTAATTATTCATTAGGCGTTTTTTTTTTTTCCAACTTCCTAACATTCTCTTCTTAACTTTGTCAATTAATCATTTCAAGTCTCACCCATCCCTCAAACTCTGATTAATAGATCCAGTAATAACTATAAAGGCAACAAAAAATGTATTCAAATAGTAGAGAATTAACTGACAGTAAATATGTTTAGACTTTGAGACCAGAATTTCTGTCTATTTATTTTTGAATGATTAGTGATTAATTAGCTGAGATTTTTGTAAACTGCATATTTTAATCTGTGAAATATAGATTGATTTAATATAATATATGTAGCAGATTAAAATAATTCTGTTTTTGTTTACATTTGAATATTTGAATAGTTTTGGATGATTTGAACATTCCGTCACAGGAAGGAAATGGAAGAATAGTAACAGATTAAACAACTGCCTCTGACATTTCCCTCTAAATGCCAGACTGTCAAAGTAAGAATAGGACCTGTATTGAATTTTGTGAAATAAATAAATAAATCCTGTCATGATCCTGGCTCTTTCTTTCTTTCTCTGGTTCTTCTCTGCCCCCTTCTGGCCACTATCTTACATTACATTACTTGCATCACTCATTCATCATCCCGGTCACCTCCAGCTGTGGCTCATCCTCTCATTACCTCCTCGTTACCTTCCCAACTGTTTCTCACTATCTCTGATTAGACTCTCTATTTCAGGGCTTCTCTCTTATTGTTCTTTGTCAGATTATTGCTCTATGTTACGTACCTGTGCATATCGCTCCTGATCCTGTCGTGTCGTGTCCTGTCTGATTCAAGCTGTTCTGTTCTCTGTATTACCTCAACTCTACTCTGCTACACTTCCAGCATCGTGAGTGGTTCAGGATTGGCGTTCCCGTGCCTCTACGGACCCAGTCTGTCTCGCCCTCTGAGTGACCGTCCGTGCTGATCCAGACGGCGGATTTCTGTTCTGTTATTGAGAGACTTTCTGTTCCTTTACCATTGAGATTCCTGTGTTGGATTTACTCGCCTTACGGCTCCTGTGTTACTCTTCTGAACATTAAATCACTCATTGACTGTCCTTTGCTTTTGGGTCCTCATTCTCATACGTGACAGAATAATCTGACCAGCAATGGACCCAGCGAGGGAGAATTCACTTCAGACCGCGCTCGAGCTCCAGGGAGCCATGCTGGGCCGACATGAGGATGAGCTGGCTGCAACGCACCATGCCATGGATTCTCTGGCGACTTGTGTTACCGACATTGTCCAGGAGCTCCAGCATCTCCGCACTGATCCTTCCTCTTCTCGAGGACGAGATACGCCTGAGCCGAGAGTGAACATCCCGCCGTGTTATTCCGGTGAGCCCAAGGAGTGCAGGTCCTTTTTGACTCAGTGTGAGGTTGTCTTTTCATTGCAGACCTCCACTTACGCTACTGATCGTTCCCGCATTGCCTTTGTCGTCTCCTTACTGACTGGCCGAGCGCGGGAGTGGGGAACCGCGATGTGGACTTCGGAGGCTGAATGTCTACGCCGCTATTCCGCTTTCAAGGAGGAGATGTTGAGGGTGTTTGACCGCTCTGCATATGGGGCGGAGGCTTCTCGTCTCATGTCTACGCTGCGCCAAGGAAGAAGGTCAGCAGCAGATTTCTCGATTGAGTTTTGCACTTTATCTGCTTCTTGCGACTGGAACGAGCCTGCCCTAGTTGCCCGCTTTCTCGAGGGGCTCAATGCGGACATTAAGGACGAGATACTTGCCCGGGAGACACCGACTCGACTGGACCCTCTTATCGACTTGGCCATTCGGGTAGAGAGACGTTTTGAGATGCGCCGTCGCAGCCGGGGTCTGGAGAGAGCTCTACTCACTACTCCGGTTCCCTCATCGGCTCCATCTTCCGCCTCTGACGCTGAGCCCATGCAGCTGGGAGGGTTACGGATCTCCGCAGCCGAACGTCAACGTCGTATCATGGCTAGCCTCTGCATGTACTGTGCGTCTGCTTCTCACCGTGTCGCCTCGTGTCCAGTAAAAGCCAACGCTCACCAGTAGAGAGAGGGTTACTGGTGAGCGCGTCAGTCCTGGACCCTCCGACACGCACGCGCACTACTTTTTCCGCACTACTCCGCTGGCCTGGGTATTCCACCTCTTGTCAGGTGTTGATCGATTCTGGAGCCGAGGGAAATTTCGTGGATGAAGGTTGGGCTAGAAGACAGGGGATTACCCTCCTGGAACGTGATGACGTCACTTCCATCAACGCACTTGATGGTAGTATCCTCACTAGAGCCCGCTTTGCCACCGCCCCGGTGAGTCTCACCATCTCAGGCAATCATCGAGAGACAATTTCTTTTTTAGTTTTGCAATCTCCTTCTAGTCCAGTAATTTTAGGACACCCCTGGTTAGTCGAACATAATCCCCAGATTAACTGGGCCAGAGGTTCAATTTTGTCTTGGAATTTGTCGTGTCATGTTAAGTGTTTGGTGTCTGCCGTTCCTCCTGTCTCTTCTGTCTCTGTGTTTCAGGAGGAGCCGGGAGATTTGGCTGGAGTTCCCCGGGAGTACCATGATCTTCGAGCGGTCTTTAGTCGTTCCAGGGCCACCTCTCTTCCTCCTCACCGGCCGTATGATTGTGCCATCGATCTCTTGCCTGGCACCGCCCCTCCCCGTGGGAGGCTCTATTCGCTCTCCGCGCCCGAACGCGAAGCCCTAGAAAAGTATCTGTCTGACTCGCTCGAGGCGGGTACCATTGTTCCGTCCTCCTCCCCTGCTGGTGCGGGTTTTTTCTTCGTTAAGAAGAAGGATGGTTCGTTGCGACCCTGCATAGATTATCGAGGTTTGAATGACATAACGGTCAAGAATCGTTACCCCTTGCCACTTATGTCTTCAGCTTTCGAGATCTTGCAGGGAGCTAAGATCTTTTCAAAGCTAGATCTTCGTAACGCTTACCACCTTGTCCGCATTAGGAGGGGAGACGAATGGAAGACCGCGTTTAATACGCCCCTTGGCAGGGACGTGCACAGGAATTTTGAGGGGCAGTTGCTCTGACCTGAAAAAAGGGCACCCCACCCCCCCCCCTCCTCCCCCCTCACGGGCTATATGAAGGAATATATTCAGTTGAATTTGTCCCCTTCCAAATTGCCTTATCTGGCCGTGTTTATGTCCAAACGCAATGCCTCATCTTATGGTCTTATAATTATTTATAAAGATTGCAAAATGTCAGAGATGAGACAAATGAGCAAAAGAGTTCTTCATATTGTTGTTTATTGTTTTTTAAATTATTATTTATTTATTTATTTATTTATTTGAAAAGAAATAATCTGGATTGATTGAATCTGGATTCGAAAAAACTCGAAAAAATAAAAAACGCTTAGATTTCGGGAAAAAATACAATTCTTTTTTTTGCCAATCCTGACCTCCCCCAGGGGCCCTAAGCAAAATTCTGCTAAGGGGCCCTCTACCTGATCTGTGATGCCGTGAGCCATATAAACCATTTGCCATTGCCACTCAATACCGCCCAATACAATCCTCCCTCCTTTAAACAAAACAGTCAAAGAATAAGTACAACAGTATAGAATAGAATGAGTTTCAAACAAACAATATTTACTGAATAAAGCATTTTTATAGAACGTTAAGATAACAAGTGAATATTAACGTAAACATAAACAAGAAGAAAATAATAAAAGTACAACCCTGAACTTTGGCTTTTGGGATTAACTTTGGTTCTCTCTACAGCCAGGGTATTTTCGGAATCAGTAGCCTATGATTTTTATCTATTTTTTTTTTTTATGCATGTTAAAGCAAATCTTGATTAATGGTTATTTACTGAGGGATTTGCATTCATATTGACCAGAATCTAATCATCATTTTAAATTCAATATAGCCTATAAATCAATAGTCAATCAATGTCAAATTGCCAATACATTGGTTTATATCTTGCATAATTAGTGCAGTTGTTTAGAGTTTTTAACTACACTGAGACTAGATAATCAGTGTCTTTATAATGTGTACTTTGATTGGGAGTGTCATCATTCACGTATTGTACAGTATTTCTCTGGTCTCCACATTTCTGCTTGAAAAATGCGAGTTTCATTTCGTGCACGCGCATATGAACGCAACACACGCGACGCGGTTATGTTTTCCGAGCTGCAGTAAACAAACACTGTTGTTGCACTTTGTCCTTTATCAAAAACAAAACGTAATAAATAATGGTATTTTACTCTCACTTTTGTCAGGCAAAAAGTGATGCAAGAGATGCACTGCCTGCCCAGACAAACCATCAAACTTTGCTGACACTAGAGAGGACAGAACACAAGTTTACCTGACTGCTGTTACCGCAATTCACTCTCATGTTTTTCTTCTTCCTCTTTTCGTGACGAGAAGCATAGTTTCGCTTCATTTTGTCATGGACTTCGTACACATTAATTAGCGCGCGACACGAGATGGAGGCGCGGCCTGAGTAATTTGCGGTGCCTTACCATACGCCCGGTCGCGTGCAGTCTATGGTTTCGTGGAAACAGTTTGACTTTCTAATTCTTTTTTTTTTTTTGGAAGTGAATGAGGCTTTGCGATTTTTATATTATTTTTTGTCTAGGCCTACGTGAAATTCTACATCCATTGTACGATTTTTTTTTTTCCTCAGAAGGGCAACCTGAGTCGAGAAGGGCATATGGGCAGTTGCCCGGGCAACCTGAGCAACCCCCCTGTGCACGTCCCTGCCCCTTGGGCACTTCGAATATCGCGTTCTTCCTTTCGGATTGGTCAACGCTCCAGCCGTGTTCCAGGCGCTAATAAATGACGTGCTCAGAGACATGCTGAATATTTTCGTTTTCGTTTATCTTGACGATATTTTGATCTTCTCTCCCTCTCTCCAAGTCCACACTCAGCACGTGAGACAGGTCCTCCAGCGTCTTCTCGAGAACCGATTGTTTGTTAAGGCCGAGAAGTGCACTTTCCACGTTCAGTCCATCTCTTTTCTGGGGTCAATTATTTCCGCGGAGGGAGTAAGCATGGATTCCTCGAAGATCCGTGCGGTCACGGATTGGCCCGTGCCGGAATCGCGTGTTGCTCTGCAACGGTTCTTAGGTTTTGCGAATTTTTATCGTCGCTTTATCCGCAACTTTAGCCAGATTGCCGCCCCGCTCTCAGCCCTCACGTCCGCCAGGGTCCAATTTTCCTGGACGCAGGAGGCTCAGACCGCTTTTGATCGTCTCAAGTCTCTTTTTTCCTCTGCCCCTATTTTGCGTACTCCTGATGTCTCTAAACAGTTCATTGTTGAGGTTGATGCCTCAGAGGTGGGCGTTGGGGCTATTCTCTCCCAGCGCTCATCCTCTGACGAGAAGGTTCATCCCTGCGCTTACTTTTCACATCGCCTTTCACCCGCCGAACGTAATTATGATGTTGGTAACCGCGAGTTATTAGCCATTCGTCTCGGAGAGTGACAGCTCTCGGAGAGTGGCGCCACTGGCTAGAGGGTTCAGTGGTCCCGTTCGTGGTCTGGACAGATCACAGGAATCTTGAGTATATCCGCTCCGCTAAGAGACTATGCGCGCGCCAGGCTCGTTGGGCGCTATTCTTTACGCGCTTCAATTTCTCCATCTCCTATCGTCCCGGGTCCAAGAACCTCAAGCCAGACGCTCTCTCGCGACAGTTTACTTCCCCAGAGGTTATTCCCATTAAGGAGGAGATCCTCCCTAAGGGCGTGGTAGTGGGGGCAGCTGTCTGGGGAATAGAACGTTTGGTCAAGCGCTCTTTAGCCCACGCTATTACCCCTCGTCTTTGTCCCAGGGGTCTTCTGTTCGTTCCTCCGTCCGCTCGCCTCGCGGTTCTTCAATGGGGTCACTCATCCAAATTATTTGCCCATCCCGGCGTTAGGGGCACCATCGCCGCCATCCGTCAAAGATTCTGGTGGCCCTCTCGGGAGCGCGACGTCCGTCGTTTTGTCGCTTCGTGTACGGTATGCGCCCAGACTAAGTCGGGTAATTCGCCTCCGGCCGGGCTACTGCGTCCTCTCCCGTTACCGTCCCGTCCTTGGTCACATATTGCTTTGGATTTTATCACGGGTCTTCCCCCCTCCCAGGGGAACACCGTGATACTGACCGTCGTTGATCGCTTTTCTAAAACCGCTCGCTTTATTCCGTTACCCAAGCTCCCATCTGCTAGGGAGACGGCCCAGATTATCGTCGACCAGGTTTTTAAGATCCACGGTCTTCCCTCTGACGTCGTATCTGATAGGGGTCCCCAATTCTCTTCCTTGTTTTGGAAAGAATTTTGCCGTCTTATTGGTGCGTCGGCCAGTCTCTCCTCCGGGTTTCACCCTCAAACTAACGGTCAAGCGGAACGTGCCAACCAGACCATCGGTCGCATCCTTCGTAGCCTCGCCTTTCGCAATCCGGTTTCGTGGTCAGAACAGCTTTCCTAGGCAGAATACGCTCTCAATTCCGCCCCATCCTCTGCCACGGGTTTATCTCCGTTTCAATGCTGTCTCGGATACCAGCCTCCACTCTTTTCGTCTCAGGAGACTGAATCTCAGGTGCCGTCCGTTCAAGTCTTCATTCAACGTGCTAAGCGTACTTGGAGAGAGGTTAGGTCCGCTTTAGTTAAGTCTCGTTCTCGTACCCGGCGGGCCGCTAACAGACGTCGGGTCAAGAGTCCCCGTTATTCTGTGGGTCAGAGAGTTTGGTTATCTACCCTTAATCTGCCTCTCCAGTCCACGTCTCGCAAGCTGGCCCCCAAATTCATCGGGCCTTTCCGTATTCTTAAGATACTCAGTCCTGTCTCTGTTCGTCTCAAATTGTCTGCCAATCTTCGGCGCGTCCACCCGGTCTTTCACGTGTCATGTATTAAACCCGTCATTCGTGCCCCCCCTCGGCCTGTCACTCCCCCTGTCCGCGTCGAGGGCGCTCCCGTCTACAGGGTTCGCAGACTTCTCGATGTTCGCCCCCGGGGTCGTGGTCATCAATTTCTGGTCGATTGGGAGGGATACGGTCCGGAGGAGAGATGTTGGATTCCATCCCGGGACGTCCTGGACCGCTCGCTGATTGATGACTTCTATCGCTCACGCCAGTCCTCCTCTGTTGCGCCAGGAGGCGCTCCTTGAGGGGAGGGTACTGTCATGATCCTGGCTCTTTCTTTCTTTCTCTGGTTCTTCTCTGCCCCCTTCTGGCCACTATCTTACATTACATTACTTGCATCACTCATTCATCATCCCGGTCACCTCCAGCTGTGGCTCATCCTCTCATTACCTCCTCGTTACCTTCCCAACTGTTTCTCACTATCTCTGATTAGACTCTCTATTTCAGGGCTTCTCTCTTATTGTTCTTTGTCAGATTATTGCTCTATGTTACGTACCTGTGCATATCGCTCCTGATCCTGTCGTGTCGTGTCCTGTCTGATTCAAGCTGTTCTGTTCTCTGTATTACCTCGACTCTACTCTGCTACACTTCCAGCATCGTGAGTGGTTCAGGATTGGCGTTCCCGTGCCTCTACGGACCCAGTCTGTCTCGCCCTCTGAGTGACCGTCCGTGCTGATCCAGACGGCGGATTTCTGTTCTGTTATTGAGAGACTTTCTGTTCCTTTACCATTGAGATTCCTGTGTTGGATTTACTCGCCTTACGGCTCCTGTGTTACTCTTCTGAACATTAAATCACTCATTGACTGTCCTTTGCTTTTGGGTCCTCATTCTCATACGTGACAAATCCAGTCATTCCAGTAGTCCAACAGGAATCTACACAGTCTAGAGATTCACATGAGGGTGAAATCGCATGATTTCGCTGTGCTGATAAATTACCAGAAAGCTGCTTGTTTTGAGAGTTATTTCTGTGAGTGCTGCTTCATACATTGCTACACTTCCCCCAGTGAAATGTTGTTAAACTACTGCTAATGTACATCATACTCATACAATTGCTCTTCAAAATATCTTCCTTTGTGTTCAGCAGAAGAAAGAAACTCATACATGTTTGCAACAACTTGAGGGAGAGTAAATGACAGAATTATTTTTTTTGCTTTGGAGTATCCCTTTTGGAGCTCCTAAAGTTCTTTTCCAGCTATTTTTGTTAGTAACTGTAGTCTAAAGAGAAACAGCTGAACTGTAAACTGATCCCCACGGCTTCTGAGGAACATGCATTTGCATTCAGTCTAGAATAACACACAGACCTCACATATACAAAAACTGTGGCTGTTTTCGTCGAACATTATTTACATAATTTCAGGAATATCTTTGGTGTCACTCAAAAAAATGATGTGTTGGCTTTACTTAACTTTTTTTTATGTAAACAGGTTCCACCGGTTCCACATAACTTTGTTTCGTTATACAAACATAATTTGTTCATGTAACTTCAACATCATGGAAGTCATTTTAAGCCATCCAATCAAACTCTGAGCTGAGTGTTAAATGAACACTGAAACAGTGATAAAGTTAATGAGATAATTTAGTGAATAATTGAGTGATGATTGAGCATTATTGAAGACACCTGATGATCACAAGCAGAATCACTGAAGGAGAAAATCACAAATTGTAAGTCACCGTTATGGAGATCAGTGTTTGTTTTAGTTGGGCTCTTGACACTTAAACTATCTCTTTAAACTTAGTTTGTCTGCTGTTAATAACTTATAACAGTCAAATGAACAAAGAAAACTATGATAGTGTTGGTTGTGATATGACATAATCATGCTGTGATCTGTAAAATGAAACTTTTAAGATGATTTGGCTTAACTTGTTAGCAACATTTTAGTGATTGTACTGCATATCCGTTTTTTTCTTTTAACCTAAAATATTTAATTAATATTATTCTGATCAAATCACTTTCATCCTTATTTAGAAACAGAGACATCAAAAATCAGCCTGTCTATCTCAACTGTGGTGGCAATATTAATCCTTGTTGCCACCAATCACAACTCATAGAGTAAAAGTAAAAGTCAGAAAGAGTAAGAGCCAAAGAGTAAAAGTCCTGCCATATGTTTATTCAACCCATGAACTCAATCAGCTGACTTCACTAATTAGTTCTCTCTCCCGTCTGAATTAGCAAATCCAGGTGATTGGAACAAAATACTGAAGAGGACTTTTACTTTCTGAACCTGGACTTTACTCCTCTGCATAGCAATGCCACATGCCAGCCAAGAGTAAAGAAATAAACTAGAATTGGACCTATACCCACATAGCAACATTGTTGCGGCCCAGATCCGGCCCACAACTGAAACTACTTCATTATTAATATACACAGATTTTGTGGGTCAGATAATGTCCAGTTCTGGTTTATTTCTTTACTCTCGGCTGACATGTGACATTGCTAGGAGATGTAAATCCAGGTTCAGAAAGTAAAAGTCCTCCTCAGTATTTTGTTCCAATCACCTGGATTTGCAAATTCAGACAGGAGAGAGAGAACTAATTAGTGAAGTCAGCTGACTGAGTTCATGGGTGGAATAAACATACGGCAGGACTTTTACTCTTTGGCCCCTGGATTTCCCACCTCTGCCTATATGTACACAAGGAGTGTTAATTTAACACTGGGAATTTTGCTGTGTAGATTAACTTCATTTTTAATTATATATTTGTAGTATTTTCAAATTTAGCAGAGATGATGGAAAATATTTTTATATGCAAACTGTTACCCAATCGTAGCAGTGGGCCTTTACTTCCAAGTCTTGACTGTAACATGTCTATAAAAACTGCGTGTTTCAAAGAGGTCAAAAGTAGGATGAAAAATAGATTATACTTCTTAGGATGTTTTGTGATGTAAAATCTTGACATTATAAGATGACTTCAGAGAACTTTGCAAATGCAGTTCATGACCCCTGTGATACTAGGATCAGAGATTTACATAGAGTCCATGTGACTGGCCCACACTGGGCTGTACATTCCCATAGACTGTATGTACTTGGCTCTTTGGGACTTCAGGTCTGTTGATAGGTTTCATCTGAGTTCTCTTGTCTGTGTTAGGAATGTCAACAGTCTCGTACACACTGTCTCCCTGCATCAAGAAAACAAAACTGCTCTAGTAAGTCTGCTGGGTGATTAAACACATAATGATTTCTTTTGATTAATTTTATTTCTTCTATGCAAAGCATTTTTTAATTACCATTGTGTATGAAATGTGCTATATCTAGCATAGCAACATTATTTCTGCCATCCTGTTTGCCAGATCTGGGCTGACATGTGGCGTTGCTATGGCCTGCTTGTGGCCCAGATCTGGCAAACAGGAGTGGGCCACCCAAGGGCCGTCAGTCATTGCTGCATGTGGGCCAGATCCGAATCCCACAAGTGCCAGATATGAGCCGGATCTGGGCCGAAACAATGTTGCTATGTATAAATAAACTTGCCTTGCCTTGAATATTAAGTTGGGTTTTTAGGTTATTTTTTTTAAGGTCAGTGAGCGACTTACAAAATCGTTGGCATTACTCTTCTGTTCATCTCTGCTTTTATTTTGATTTTTGACAGGCGTCACACTGCCTATTGAAATATCAAAACAAAGAAATCCATTGGTCAAATCTTTTTGTTGTTTTAATTATGCTGATAGTAGACATGGCTTGTTTATTTGTACCTGTACTTGCTGATGTCTTGACTTTTTTCATGCACTGATGGACAGTGATCCATCCAACTACAACTATGATCACTGCTATGACCAGCCCACCGACAGCATATAGTATGTATACTGTAGTGTCCAAAGATTCTGAGGGAGAGATAGAAAGATATGTATCATTAAAGTCATTCAGATATTCGTCATCTGCAGGCTTGTGCAAAATTCAGAATTTCTGAATTGGCCTCCATTCAATTCATTATTTGGAATTTGAATTGAATTAATTCTGTCCCACAGGAAGTTGAATTTGAATTTGAATCGGAATGACAGGAAGTGGAATTAAATTCATGGCAATTCAAAGAAATCCCACACAGTCACACAACAGAGAGAATGTGTTGAATCTCACATACATTTAGCATTAGGAAGGTTACTTTGGAAATGTAATTGCTTAAGTTACCCATTACAAATGTGGATTACTTTATTTGGATTCCTTTATCAATGCAAAGCAATTTCCTTTTAATTTAATTAGTAACTAATTGAATTCAACATTTTACCTCAGTAATACAACTAAATACAATTACATTAATTTTGTAATTTAATAACATTCGTTACACACATATCACTCCTCAACTCTGCATAAATTCTTGTTATAAATACACAGCAAAATCCCCAGAGTTAATTTAACACTGCCCAGAGTATATATGGTCCCACTTATTGTCCCTTTAACAAAGAGTGTTAAAGTGAAAATGAAGCAGTGTTAAAGTTAATGAGATAATTAAGTGAATTGGGTGATGATTGAGTATTAGTGATAAACACCTGCTGTTAACGAGCAGAATCACTGAAGGAAAGAGAAACACAAGAACTACAACTGACTTACAGTCACAGCCTTAGATTAAATCAGATGAAGAGAAAAAGAAGATTACATCTGTGAAGATCAACAAACAGCATTACCAGCTTTATTTATTACTAACCAGAATGACTATTTCTGTCAGATGTCTATGAACGGAGGTTTAGATATCGATGTTTTAAAATGTTTGGTCACCATTATTATGATCAGTGTTTCCTTTAGTTGAGTAGTTTGTTTTCTATCATTGTAAGTGAATTTTGGTCTTTGTAACAATGTTTACCAACGCACATAGTTTGTGATAAAAGAAACAATAACCTAAGGTGTTCAGGTATAGTCATTTTCATAATAATAAAAACGATAATAGAATGGTTCTCTAATGTTATTCCTGACCAAAAGTTGTAATTTGTTTTTAATAAGTAACATTCACCTTTCTTGACACAGAGCAGACATTCTGGATTTTTATATACATTGCAGACACATTTTGGAAATCATTACAATTACATACACTTTTTTTTCTGAAACAAACAGACATCATGAATCAGCATATGAATCTCAACAATGGTGACATGCTTCATGTGACAATGCGTGCTGGGAGCCAGGAGTTTTAACCTCCTAAGACCCGAGTCTTGGTCAGAGGTAGAAAGTTCAGAAAGTCAGAAAGTAAAAGTACTGCTACATTTTTATTCCACCCACAGGGGTGGAATAAAAAATTGTTTCATGAAAAATTGTTTAAATTTACGGGGAAAAGGCTCAACTGCAGATATGAAACATGAAACATAAAATAGAAGAATATAACAAAAAATCATTAAATAAATATATTTATTTAATGATTTTTTTGTCCCATTCTTCATATTGAGTATGTTTCATATGTTTCATAACTGCAATCGAGCCTTTCATGTTTAAAGAAAACTTGTTGACAAAGACGTAGTATACTGGACTTCTTCACTGTCACGGCTGAGAAAGGGTTTTTTTTAAGCTGTAAGCGGGAGGGGATGCGAAGATAATTGCAATTGTAACTGTTAAAAAACAATAAAGAATATATATATATATATATATATATATATATATATATATAGTATATGTATGTATATACAGTATATGTTGTTGTCAATAAAAAAACATTTGCACAAAGCAAGCCGATCCACTTTACCATGTTGATAAGAGCATTAAAATGAGGGAAAAAAATAATAATGGGACAAAAAGAAATCAAGAGACATTTAGAATAGATAAAAATGTGTGATTAATTGCTATTAATCGTGAGTTAACTATGACATTAATGTGATTAATCGTGATTAAATATTTTAATTGTTTGACAGCACTAATATATATATATATATATATATATATATATATATATATTTGTTTTTGTTTTTGGGAGTGGCCTCGTAAGGGCAGCAAAGCAATTGCATTCTGGGAGTTGAAGTCTTTCAGCCACATAAGTAAAAAAATACATTTTCTGCATTTTCTCAGTCTACATTTCAAAAATAATTTCACGTTTCTATTATATAAAAGACCAATATTAAATACACCTTCATCTTCCCAGAGGTGAAGTATCCCTTTAACTGATATATATATATATATATATATATATATATATATATATATATATATATATATATATATATATATATATATATTTATATATATATATATATATAATGCTGACAAACAAGCTAGATAAAATAATGTGTCTAAGCCTGAGCAATCCACTGTAGCAATGGATTAACAAAAATCAAATGAAAAAAACATTCAGGAAATAAGCCAATAGAGACACAGTGTGTTACATTACCAGATGAGATGGCCACTGGTGTGACAGTTGTAGAGCTGGTGTTAATGCGGTCAGTGTCTGAAAGTTTGTATGAATAATGATTAATCAACAGAAACACAAATATCATGAATCTGTAGAAAGAGCTCATGTGAATATAATTACCTGCACAGTATGCAAAACTGCAGAAAGTTGGTCTGACCAGCTCATAGACATAATAATCTCCTAGACAGGCTTTGACTTTAATGGGATAAGACCCGTAAAAGCAGCAGAAATTGTCCCAGTGAGCGCAGACATCTCGAGTGACGACTCCATCTGTTACTGTTGGGTGTCCACCACGGATCCACAGTGGGGCATTAGTGCCACAGCTGAACTTAGCAACACACGTGTCTGGGATATGAGCGCTAGTGCTGTTAATGAAGAGACGATACCAGCCGCTCCAGGAGACAGACTGATCACAGTTTTTGACTGGAGCATTTATATTATTGATGGATCTCCATGGATCGTCCAGCACAGTGTAGTTGTTGCAGGGGTCTGACAGATTAGCGGTAGTGAAAATATATTAAGAAATAAAACATGTTTTATTGCAAAATGTAACCAAAATTGCAGCTTCAGACATTACTTTTTTTCTTCTTCTTCTTTTGCTGATTCAGAGCAATTCATTTCGATCCACAATATTTTTTTTTCAAATGCACTTTTATTAAAACATCAATACATCTTAAAGAAAATCTTTTAAATTGGAAGTAAACATGTTACACACCAGTATAATCATTTACATATTATTATTATTATTATTATTATTTTTTAAAGATTTTCTTTCCATTTTAGAAATGACCACTTTAAAATGACCATTGTTAGGTTTTCAGCGGGAATCCTGGTACATAAACTAATATTAAAGTAACAATCTGGTATTTAGTTTCCGCCATATTTCTTCTGTATAAAATGAAAAAAAAATGTTTAAATTAAAGCCACACTGCAGAACTTTTTGGCCACTAGATGGTGCTCAACCTGTAACTTTCACGTCTAGCGTCCCTAGAGGCCACAAACTCTGCAGCACTGTCGCAAATTAAAGTCAACAAGCAAAATGATGTCCAAAGAACGTCTTTTCAACGTCTTTGTCAAAAAGTCGGACGTTGAAAAGACGTCCACTGAGGGGCCGGAATGAAAGTTTTTATGTCTTTTTTTGACGTGTTCTGGACATCTGAAAAAGATGTCAATGGATCCTTCGTACAAGGTTAAAAACTAGTTCAAATGTGGCCATTTTCAAGAGTATTTATGGTCTCATTTAGACAATTTATACCGTTTCTGAACCAAATAAACACTCTCAGGATGCATTAAATTAAAACTCATGTTTATTTACATTGTTTAGATGTGGTTTAGATGGTGATATTGGTTTAATTTTAAATCACCATTGTGGTGATCAGTGTTTGCTTTAGTTGGGCTCTTTGTCCCAGATCACCATACTTCAGCTTTTCTTTGGCTGTTGTAACTGTTTGCATAACTCCATTGTTGTTGCGGAGAAAGCCAAGAAAATAAAAAAAAATAGTTGTCTTCAGCTGCTTGTTGATGATGACAAAACAAACACAATGCAAGCATTAAACAACATCTAAACTTTTGCTTTAATATCTGAAATTTATAATTATTCATCTTGTGGAACTGCATTATTTGGACCAGTAACTTTACAATGAGCACTGCGTACAAGAAATTGACCCACATAGTCACACATAGATATCAAGATTTTGCATATGAGTCTCAACAATGGTGACACCCAAAACAAAAAAGCCTGGGAATCAAGAATGTTTTGTTCTATGAAAGCTACCCACCATGCATTGCAGCATGAAGCATTTTATTTATTATGACCATTTTATTTATTATCACCATTTTTGTGAAATTTGTAATGTAAATTTGCTTTTTGAACACAGAAGTCTAAACACAACGTTAAAATGCCCAATTTATGTTGATTTCATCATCATCACCATCACCAACAACAACAAGGAGCTGATGAGAGACAATTTTCTTGGCTTTCACTGTCACAACAATGGTGTTATTCAAACACACAGTTACAACAGCCAAAGAAAAGTTAGAGTACAAATTATTGGGACCAAGAGCCCAACTGAAGCAAACACTGATCACCACAATGGTGACTTAAAATGAAACAAATATCACCATCTAAACAACGTAAGGAAATTTTTAATTTAATGCATCCTGAGAGTGTTTATTTGGTCCAGAAATAGTATAAATTGTCTAAATGAGACCATAAATAGTGTTGAAAATGGCCACATTTGAACTAGTTTTTTAACCTTTTGATACAAAGGATCCAATTGACGTCTTTTTCAGACGTCCAGAACAT